TTTTTTTTTTTTAGAAAGAGGGCGCAAGTGAGAGAGGGTGGAGAGACAGAATCCCATGAGGGGCAGAGAGAGGGAGAGAGAAGCAGGGCTCACCCAAAGTGGGGCTCAAACTCACCAACCGTAAGATCATGACCGGAGCCTCAGCCAGATGCTTAACCGACTGAGCCACCCAGGTGGCCCCTCGTGAACCTTTTGCTTTCGGCCCATCCTTACTGCGGATCCTGCTTTAACCCACGTTGTCTGGTTTTCCTTTTCAGTACTCCATGGTGGAACTGCAGGTAGGTAGAAGTTTCTTTTCCTTTTCTGTCAGCTGTGGAAAAGGGGAGATCATTTCGGGGCTCAACCCCGAGGCCAGAAACCACTCTGAGATGTTGGCCCAGTGCCCAAGATGGAGTCCGCGGCCCAGCACCCACAATTCCCCCCAAGCCATGCCTGCTCTCTGGCCTGTGCTCGCCCACCCTCTCAGGCCTGAACCTCTGTAGATAAGGACACACTGCCCTGCGGCCACCAGCCTTCCCACTCTGATTCCCGTGACTTCTCTGCTCCACGCGAGTTCCACCGGGCTCAGTTCTGTACTCCTCTTGTTGTCATGGCCGTTCTTGTAGACGCTCAGCAGTTGGCTATGACGTGAATACCTGTGGGCAGTGCCGAGAAGGACAGGGACCAGAAAGTTGGAATATCTCATGGCATCGCCTCCATTGTTCTGTTACCTTATCTGTCGGGTAGCTTACGATAAATTCCCTCAGCATTACCCCTACATAGGCACCGAGAACAAACAACTCTCTGTAAAGGCTATCCTGAAGCCCACTTTCTGAAACTGACAATAACACCTTAGAGGACTCGATCTGACTCTTTGAATCCACAAGGATGCTTTTCTTCCCCAGTGGGGTCGGCCCTATAGGAAAATTTATTTAGCAACAAGAAAACTATAAATGAAAACTTAGCCACAAAGAAAATTATGAATGAAACGGGGGGCCCTTCTTCCTGGATGCAGACCATGGCGGTCATGAATCCCAGGGTGTGGGATTCTTTACCTGCGCTCTGTGTCTTTACCTGCTTTTTGTAGCGCAGAGCGAGAGACGGGCAGGTACGTCATGAAGTTTCTTTTTAATGAACGCAGGACCCAAATAGCAACAGGATTGCCCAGTGGCTGGAAGTGATGCCGGAGCAAGGCATTGCGGACCTGTCCTTCCAACTGGCCCCAGAGGCAACGCTGGGCACCTATACCGTGGCAGTGGCTGGGGGCAAGACCTTTGGCACCTTCCTTGTGGAAGAATATGGTAGGTGGGAGAATCAGCAGGTCAGAGCGTTGGACAGAATCTTGCCCCCAAGTCAGCAAAGGTACAGTAAAATATACTACGGGGAGGGATTCTTGATTCGTTTTTGAATCCTGGCTAAGCCAGCTAATAACGTTAGGAGCATTTTTGCCTTGCTTGTCCCCTCCCTTAACTTAATTCATTTAATTATCACTGTTTCTATATCCCTCTGTCTACTGTCGGTAGGGGTCAATTCCTTTTTCTTGCCCATTTTTGTTTCCACTCTCCCCAGTGCTGCCTAAGTTTCAGGTGGATGTGGTGGAACCCAAGCAGTTATCGACCGTGGAGGAATCCTTCTTAGTGAAAATTTGTTGTAGGTGAGACTAAACCTCTGGATCTGGTGGAGATTACAGCTATATGGAGAAGAGTGACAGGGGAGAGTGGTTATGGAGGCGGTGGTTAAGACTCGAGACATTTTATGCGGTCCAGAGCCGTGACTTCTCCCAGAACACATTTTCTTTTTTTGTTTTGTTTTTTTTTTGGGGGGGGGGTTTGGGTTTTTTGTGTTTTGTTTTAGAAAGAGAGAGAGTGAGAGGGCACTCAAGCGGGGGAGGGGGGAGGAGACAGAGAGAGAGAGAGGGAGAGACTCTTAACCAGGGTCCACAGTCCACGCTCAGCACAGTGTCTGACATGGGGTTCGATCCCATGACCCTGGGATCATGATCTGAGCTGAAATCAAGAGTTGGACAGTCAACCGGCTGAGCTACCCAGGTGCCCCTACATTTTCTTTTTTTTTTTTTCTTATTTATTTATTTATTTTTGAGGGAGAAAGTGTGCGTGAGCGGGGGAGGGGCAGAGAGAGAGAGAGGGAGGCAGACGCTCCAAAGCAGGTTCAGCCCTGTCAGCAGCCAGTAAGCCCACCGTGGGACTCAGACTCACGAACGGTGAGATCATGGCCTGAGCGGAAGCCAGACGCACCACTGACTATGCCACCCAGGTGCCCCTCAGCATTATTAGTTAGTGTCCGCTTTGTGCGGAACACAACAGCGAATCCCGTGAGAAATCGGGGTAAGGAGAAAGAAAAGCATCGATCTCGGTCCTTCGGCTGGTATTTGTTGTGTGGTGGCCGACGCCCTAAGGCTTTGGGTAAAGCAGGGAAGTGGACCAGACTAGTGAAGGGTAGGACAGTCAGTGCTTCCAGAGGCTGGAGCACGGAAAAGAAGGGAAAGTGGTGTCTCGGAAGAGGAGGGCTGGATCTCAAGTGGAATCTCCCAACTCTGACTTGTCGTGCTTCTCTGGGTTAGGTACACCTACGGAAAGCCCGTGCGAGGGGCGGCACAGGTATCCGTGTGTCAAAAGGCATATACTCACCATTTTCCAGACGCACAATGGGAACAGCTACCCGACAGATGCAAGAACCTTTCTGGACAGGTGAGTAAAGGGGATGTAGCAAGGGAAACTTATTCCTGTGTCCGAAAGTAACTGAGCACCAATATACCAATAGAGAAAAGTAGTAAAAACCCCAGAGTAGGAACCTTTTCACACAATCGTCGTCCCAGTGCCAAAGCACAAGGCAGTCTTCTTTATACTAAACAGGTGAAGTCTTTTAGAATCTGCCCTGGAGTCGAGAAATTACGCTAAATCCTCGCGAGGCACAATTTTCCTGCCCTGCAGTTGGTTGTTTCTCCTCCTTCTCCGATCTTGGAGCCTCAACGTTGCTTCATGATTATCTATGTCGGAGGAGAGTTTTTCTTTCTTAAACGTGGCGAAACTGAAGTATGGAGATCAGAATTTCTGTCTACGGTATATTATCAAGTGGGAGTAGAAGTTAGGTGATTCATCCTCCCTTTCTCTCTCCCTGATTGCCTCACTAGACTGACAAGTCAGGATGCTTCTCAGCTTCCGTGGATATGTCCACCTTCAACCTCACTGGTTACACGTACAGCCACAGCATCAATATTGTGGCTACCGTGGTGGAGGAAGGAACAGGTAAGTTGGACATGCCTGCCTTCATTAAGAAAAGAGACAGGAGAAGGGCTGTCCTAGGAACAGACCCATCGAGAGGGCTCAAGACCTACCCTCATTACTCTTTGCGAACGAGTCTGTTCCTAGTTCACCGTCAAAGGGAAATGCCGGATTCCAATCTGTCATTCATTACCTATTTCCCCAAAAGTTTGGGGAGGAGGAGTTCGTTTGGATCTTTGGCCGGAAATGTGTTCAGTTTCATACGTCCAAGGTCGCACTGTCCTTTCAGGGATTTTACGTTACACACACCAGGTGTTTAGGTCATCATACGTCTGGTTTCCCTCTTCAGGAGCAGAGGCCAATACCACTCAGGATATCTACATTTCTTCAGAAATGGGATCGATAACCTTTGAAGACACCAAAAATTTTTATTACCCCAATTTCCCCTTCACTGGGAAGGTATGTTGAAACCTGTCTCTACACCCAAAAGGTGCTTAACCATCCACTGTTGCCTTCTTCTTGGAGACATATAATAATAGCTCATTTAACGTTTTTTCTCAGTCCTTTACGTGTATTCGCCTGTCTAATCCTTACAACGATCCAGTGAGGTAGACACTATTATTGGCCCCGTTTTACCGATGAGGAGACTGAGGCACAGAGAGGTTAACTGATTTTCCAAAAGTTATACAGCTAGTAAGTGGCACCTAGGATCAAACCCAGGCAGACTGCATCCAGAGTATATAGTCTTAATTCCTTGGGTTGTGCTGCCTTTAGTCTCCCATGAGGTGTGCCTTGAATATTTTTTTTTTTTAATTTTTTTTTCAACGTTTTTATTTATTTATGGGACAGACAGAGACAGAGCATGAACAGGGGAGGGGCAGAGAGAGAGGGAGACACAGAATTGGAAACAGGCTCCAGGCTCCGAGCCATCAGCCCAGAGCCTGACGCGGGGCTCGAACTCACGGACCGCGAGATCGTGACCTGGCTGAAGTCGGACTCCTAACCGACTGCGCCACCCAGGCGCCCCTGCCTTGAATATTAATGTGACTTCGTTACCTTTCCCAATGCCCGGGACTCGCTAATGTCCCAATCTTTGAATTTTAGACCTCCACGGTATCTGGAGAAATCATCTAGTCTGGCTCCTCATCTAAGCAAGATTAAACGTGGCTTAACAGGGAGCCAATTATCGCTCCTTAAGCAGTTTCTTCAGAGATTTAAAAATTTCCTTTGTTGGAGTCTTCTTTCTGATACTTAACAATCTGTCCGTCTCTCCAGTTTATCTTTGTTAATGTCCCAAACAGTCGTTCAACACAATAATGTAGCATACTTCTAGATCTATTTAGATCAATCCTTAGCCATCTTGTCTCTAGACCAAGGGTAGATCCAGATTCTCTGGGAGCCTATGGATTATAAATTTGGGAGTGGAAGGGGATTCTCTCTCTAAAAAATAATAATAATAATAATAATAATAATAATATACAGAGAGGGGCGCCTGGGTGGCTTGGTTGGTTAAGCGTCCGACTTCGGCTCAGGTCATGATCTCACGGTCCGTGAGTTCGAGCCCCGCGTCGGGCTCTGTGCTGACAGCTCAGAGCCTGGAGCCCGTTTCAGATTCTGTGTCTCCCTCTCTCTCTGCCCCTCCCCTGTTCATGCTCTGTCTCTCTCTGTCTCAAAAATAAACGTTAAAAAAAAATTAAAAAAAAAAAATAATGTACAGAGAGCCTTGTAGGGGGGCAACCTGTGTAAATGAAGGGTCCTGAAGCTTCATTAGCTACGTGACAAATCTATTCCTGCTCCAGGCTGAGCTGCTTCTGTTTGCTTCTCACTTCCCCACAGATGTCAGGTTCCAATGCTTGAATCGCATCTACTTGTTTCTGGACTCTTTCGTGAAATGTATTCTTAGAGTTTCTTTTCTCACCTCACTTCACCTCATACTTGAATCGTCTCCAAACCTAACCCTAACTCATGCCCTCATAACCTTCACCCTTTAGATAAGAGTTAGGGGCCATGACGGCTCCCCCCTCAAGAATCATTCAGTATTTCTGGTGATTTCTGGCATAAATGGAACCACCAACCAGACCCTAACTACTGACAACGATGGCCTTGCTCCCTTCGAGCTGGATACAGTCAGTTGGAATGGGAGAGATATTTCTCTGGAGGTAAGCACCGAAGAGGACACGCTTTCTGGTAAGGCTTCCCTGAAGGAAAACCTCAAACTTTTCCTGTTCTCTCCCCTCCTCCCTCATTTGTCATTCTGTCAGCATCATTCACCAGTCCTGCTTCCCAGTTGACAAAAACTTTTGTTGGTCTTTAATATCAACCGAATAAATTTTCCTTCAGGTAAGCAATGTTATTTCTACTAATTCATCGTACGACTTATCCTCATCTCTATTTGGTCCCATATTTAAAATCAGAGTGGGGGGGGGGTGCCTGGGTGGCTCAGTCGGTTAAGCGTCCGACTTCGGCTCAGGTCGTGATCTCACAGTCCGTGAGTTCGAGCCCCGCGTCGGGCTCTGTGCTGACAGCTCGGAGCCTGGGGCCTGTTTCGGATTCTGTGTCTCCCTCTCTCTCTGCCCTCCCCTATTCATGCTCTGTCTCTCTCTGTCTCAAAAATAAATAAACGTTAAAATCAGAGTAGGGAGAGGGCACCTGGGTGGCTCAGTTGGTTGAGCATCCAAATTCGGCTCAGGTCACGATCTCGAGGTTTGTGAGTTCGAACCCCGCGTCAGGCTCTCTGCTGTCAGTGTAGAGCCCGCTTCAGATCCTTTGTCCCCTTCTCTCTCTCTCTCTCTCTCTGCCCCTCCCCTGCTTGCTATCTCTCTCTCAAGAATAAATAAACATGAAAAAATAAAATAAAAGTAGAGTAGGGAGGACAAGATAATTCAGAGTCATTTTCTTCCCTCTGTGTCCCTCCCTCCACCCGCTCTGGGGCCATTACTCATAAACATGGCAAAGAAGGAAACTCTGTGTTTTGGATAACTTCCAGGGAAGGCAGCTCATACCAGTTATCAGCTGTGACACGATGCTGCTCAACAAACAACCACAAAACTTTAGTATTATACAACCACAAGTGTGTCCCTCTGGGGGACTTCTTGTCCCTCTGGGGTAGTCAGGCAGCTCTGCTGGTCTTGAAGGGGGGTGTGGTTCTTACATGCTGTGGCTCAACCGGCTGATGAAGGCCAGGCTCGCACGTCCCAGCAAACTAGTTCGGGTACATTCTTCCAGCCATGACTGGGAGCAAGAGCAAAGGTCGACACGCAAGGGCTCTTCCAAGCCTCTCCCTCTCTTGCATATGCTCACATCCCGTTCCCAACAAGTCACATGGTGGGTCTGCAGTTAGACTAACAGGGCAACACAAGACTACGTGGCAGAGGGCATTAATACCGGAGGGATGGATTGGGCCCGTGAGTGCCATCGTTCACCATGCTGCTTAAGCAAACACATACAATTTGTGTGGTGGCTCATTTAAGTAATTGTTTACATAAGGCCTCACTCAGTCACTCTACTTAGAAATAATCTTCATTTTTTTCCCCTCTTTTTTTTTTTTTTTTTTTTTTTTTTTTTTAATTTTTATGTGAATTCTAGTTAGTTAACCTACAGTACGATATTGGTTTCAGGAGTAGAGTTTAGTGATTCATCACTTACAGACAACGCCCAGTGCTCACCCCAGCGAGTGCCCTCCTCAATGCCCATCACCCATTTAACCCATCCTCTACTCACCTCCCTCCATCAACCCTCAGTTTGCTCCCTGTTGTTAAGAAGCTCTTATGGTTCGGGGGCCCCCGGGTGGCTCAGTCGGTTAAGCGTCCGACTTTGGCTCAGGTC